ATTTAATAGTGACTGTGGAGGACCGGGCACGTCCCACCGGGAGGAGGCCCGAGGAAGACCCAGGACACACTGGAGGGACTATGTCTCTCGGCTGACCTGGGAACGCCTTGGAGTTCCCCCGGAGGAGCTGGAAGAAGTGGCTGGGGAGAGGGAGGTCTGGGCTTCCCTTCTGAAGCTGCTGCCCCCGCGACCCGACCCCGGATAGGCGGAAGAAAATGGATGGATGGATGGATAGGGAAGCGTTAGCATAGTTAGCAACGTTAGCAGCATTAGCGACCAAAGCTGCGCACCAACAGCAAAGGTTGTGGTATTCTTATGTATTTTAAATGTAAACTTCAAAATCCAGCCACAACATTTAGAGTTAAATATAGGAATTAACATTTAGACATACCATTTGCACATTTAGAGTTAACTTTTTGAAAATTATTTGGAAAAATATAACAGTTATCTAAAAAAAACAAGAAAATGTTAATGTGATTTTTTTTATCATGCGTTAATTAATGAAAATTTATGAGTGACATTTTATTTTACACTTAGCACCACATATTTTTGTTAACAAAACATCACGTGCACTGGATCTTAATGAAAGTAATTAATGGATCTACAACTGTTTACAACTTGGAGTCGGTTCAATTAAAGATGGCCGCCACAGCTTCCTGTACAAACCCAACACAAAGTGAAATGGAGGAGACAATGAAGAGGAGGCTTAAGATAACAGAACATTATTTTACACAAAAGATGTCCAGATATGCATCCCAGCAGCGCTTTTATTTAAAAAGAGTTGTTTAGTTTTTAACATTTGCGTCTCAGCAGGAGGCGGGCCTAACGAGCGGTGAGTGGCTGAGCTGTGACTCGTATTAACTCGGACAAGCTTTCCAATTAGTGCGTTCTGTCAACAACGACAAGAAATCCATACGTTCATCTGAAGACGCTCACTGTGAGCCACTTTCCTCTCCTTTCACCCCCGTTTCCTCTCTCCAAACACGGGGGCCGCAAGAGCTGAGGGGTACGGTGACAGCTTGAAGGATCCTCCAGAACAAGGCCAGAGAGTCCATCCAGTCTTCAGTCAAAAGGCCCCTGACATTCTGCTGGATGAGCTTCCTTTCACATGGCACTGGGAAAGAAATTGGGTGATTGTAAATAGACGCATGCGGTGGGAGGGAAGAGGCACAGAGAGGCAGAAACTGCAGGGGGGGAGATTTTGTGCCACTCTTGAAAAATGACTCAAACTTTGCCTGTGGTTCTGTCTTTATTACGAGCCGAAGTGTCAGCTCTGCTCTTATCTGATGGCTTCACTGGTGGAGGCAGAGATGAGACAGAAAACTCTCTTTTTACTGCTCAAACCTTCACCTCGGGGGAAAAAAAACAACTTGTTAGCGGCTCTTTTCTGCTTGAATGAAAGCATTTTCCTGCTCTTGTTTAAAACAAAATGGCGCTTCAGCAGTGAAAGGCTGAGAAAAGTTCAAAAAAAGTCTGTGCAGATTAGAGTCTTCCACCCTCTGTTGTGTATCTTTCAGGGCGGTTGGACGCCTGAACCAATGCAGGAGACAGCTGGAGGCGATGGGGGACAGTCTACGGTGGGGGGCTCCCTGAGGTTTTCTCCTCAGGAAGCTGCAGAYGCATCATTCAGGAATATGGTGCAGTATGAGGACCGAAATGAAGACTATTGCACAACCAGTGGTTGCTACATCCTTGTAGCAGAAGGCTATATCGACATATTGGTCGGCACCGCTAACTGAGAGGCTGATGCTGGTAAATGAGAAGCAGACTATTCATTTGTGTTAGCATCAGAGAAGCTAGCAACTAGCATAGATAAGCTGGTGTTAGCATCGAAGAGGCTAATGACTAGCATGTATAAACTGATATTAGCGTCAGAGAGGCTAGCAACTAGCATGAATAAGTTGTTAGCATCAGACAGGCTAGCAACTAGCATGAGTAAGTTGGCGTTACCGTCAGAGAGGCTAGCGACTAGCTGGCGTTAGCATTGAAGAGGATTGCGACTAGCATGGATAAGCTGGCATTAGCATTGAAGAGGCTAGTGACTAGCATGGATAAGCTGGCATTAGCATTGAAGAGGCTAATGATTAGCATGGATAAAGTGACATTAGCATCGGAGAGGCTAGCAACTAGTATGAATAAATTGGCGTGAGCATCGAAGAGGCTAATGACTAGCCTGGATAAACTTATATTAGCATCGAAGAGGCTAATGACGAGCATGGATAAAGTGACATTAGCATCGGAGAGGCTAGCAACTAGCATGAGTAAGTTGGCATTACCGTCAGAGAGGCTAGCGACTAGCTGGCATTAGCATTAAGAGGCTAGTGACTAGCATGGATAAGCTGGCATTAGCATTGAAGAGGCTAGTGACTAGCATGGATAAGCTGGCATTAGCATTGAAGAGGCTAATGACTAGCATGGATAAAGTGACATTAGCATCGGAGAGGCTAGCAACTAGTATGAATAAATTGGCGTGAGCATCGAAGAAGCTAATGACTAGCCTGGATAAACTTATATTAGCATCGGAGAGGCTAGCAACTAGCATGAATAAGTTGTTAGCATCAGACAGGCTAGCAACTAGCATGAGTAAGTTGGTGTTACCATCAGAGAGGCTAGCGACTAGCTGGCGTTAGCATTGAAGAGGCTAATGACTAGCATGGATAAAGTGACATTAGCATCGGAGAGGCTAGCAACTAGCATGAATAATTTGGCGTTTGCATTGAAAAGGCTAGAGACTAGCTGGTGTTAGCATTGAAGAGGCTAGCGAGTAGCATGAATAAGCTGGCGTTAGCATTGGAGAGGCAAATGACTAGCATGGATAAACCGATATTAGCATCGGAGAGGCTAGCAACTAACATGAATAAGTTGTCAGCATCAGACAGGCTAGCAACTAGCATGAGTAAGTTAGCGTTACTGTCAGAGAGACTAGCGACTAGCTGGTGTTAGCATTGAAGAGGCTAGTGACTAGCATGGATAAGCTGCATTAGCATCAAAGAGGCTAATGACTAGCATGGATAAAGTGACATTTGCATCGGAGAGGCTAGCAACTAGCATGGATAAGTTGGCGTTAACATTGGAGAGGCTAGAGACTAGCTGACATTAGCATTGGAGAGGCTAGCGAGTAGCATGGATAAGCTGGCATTAGCATTGGAGAGGCTAGTGACTAGTATGTCGACAAACATTTTTGAAGAAAGAAAACTTTATAAAAATGGTCGAYATACAAACCTATAAGCGACGTGCACTGGCAGGTGTTCCTTAGACACAGTTTACTGTTCAACAGGACGTCAGGTATAAATATTAAACATAAAACATCACTGTGAAGCAGACGGATTTAGTCACCACGTGAATTAGCAGCTGGTTTGCTTGTCTGTTGGTCAACGATGGCGTTTTTTCCTCTTTAACTGAATGATGAGAAAAGCCAGAACCATCAAGTTGGAACTGTTTTGAGAAAGTTTCATTTCCAGAGAAAGTTTTCTTTATTTAAAAAAGTTTGTGTCTAATAAGTCGGCAGCAGTCTAGGCTCTGCAGTGTTAACGCCGGCTTGTTAGCCTCTCCGATGCTAACACAAATACAAATATGAGATGAAGGAAGAATCAAAAAGAAAAAAATAGTATAGGTCYTCTGGACGGGTTCTTCTYTAATGAAACGTTTCGTCTCTCYTCCAAGAGACTTCTTCAGTCTGAGAGTTTCAGGCTAAATTCAGGCTTTTAAGCCCTGCCTCCATGTGACTGATACTCACATCACATGGCTATCGTTGACACCTAATTAACACTTATTGTTAACAGGGGGTGGAGTGATACTGCCAATGGCAGCGCTGTAGGAGGGGGACAGCTGAAAACGGAGGCCTCCACCTCTGTTTAATGATGGACGGTCTTTCTTCACAAAAATGTCTTCTTTTACTCCTCTCTCAAACCAACGTTCCTCTCTATCAAGAATGAGAACATCCTCATCTCTGAAAGAGTGACCGCTGGCCTGTAAATGAGTGAAAACTGCAGAGTTCTGGCCATTAGATGTAGCTCGTCTGTGTTGGGACATTCTTTTGAACAGTGGYTGCTTTGTTTCCCCGATGTATAACTGGTCGCAGTCCTCCTGGCACTTAACAGCATATACAAYATTGCTCTGTTTGTGCCGGGGCACCGGATCTTTGGGGTGAATTACTGAGATGCATCAGGACGAGATGAAGGAAGGTTTGAAATATAAAAAACAAAAATGATGATGAAAAATACAAATTTTCACTACAACAGACTTATATTAGATGAACTGTTTTCACTGATTTGAGAACATTTTTATGTTTCTTTCTCAGGAGATTTTAGGAATGAAATARAAACCACATCAACTCGATTAAAATATGCAGATATTCTGTAGTAATCTGAGACAACTCTCCTAAAAACACATTTTTACTGCCTGGCTTTTGGCTCAGCCTGACACTTGTTTTTAATCCCTACTTTTTTATTGTTACTGTTTTTTAAATTGGTTTTAATGTTTTTTAATCATTGTTTCGTGTTTTATTATGTTTAGATTTTATACATGTGCAGCACTTTGTGGCAGCTGTGGTTGTTTTAAAGTGTTTTATAGATAAAGTTGAGCAGAGATGAGGAAAGATGGAGATCATGATGGAGCTGTTGTTGGGCTAACCGTGTGGTGACGTCACGCTCAGGTTTTCTATGAATGCTACCACATGAAAGTTTAGCTCAAAGTGTATCCAGTGGTTTATGAGATATTTTGCTAACAGACAGTAAAGAACAAACTGGTAAAAAGCATGATTTGCTGGTTTTGCGCCACAGCGCGGCGCTGCGCTCTGCGGCCAGGAGGCGGCTCAGATTACACTGGAGGGTGGGGGGGGGGGGCAACCCTCGGGTGGGAGGGGGGGGGGGGGGGTGTGTGAGAGGCACGTCATGAGGAGAGAGAGAAAAAAAAGAGAAAGTAGTAAAGCTGACAAAGAGTTGGAGGAAAGAGTGGGACTGACGGCGGAAGCAGCGGAGACGCACAGAGACGCGCTGATGGACTTCAGGACGTCCCGCCGCGGACAGCCGTGTCCGTGAACACGTCCAGCCTTCCTCCTCCGGGGCTCCGGAGCCGAGCAGCGGCGCTGATCGCGGAGATTCTCCGCGTCACGTTCTGCGTCCTGAAGGAAACTTGGAGAGTTGGGAGGAGAAGGAGGAGACATGCGGCTCTGCGCTGGTTTCCAGGGATAATCACCGCGGACCCGGATCTGGTCCCTCTGCGTGGTGGAGACTGGACCTGAGCTCGGCCCGGTCGGGTTCGGGATTTACCCTGAGATCTGAGCCGATCCCGGTTTAATGTTGGAGTAAATAAACTGAGGGACAAACCGCTCCTGGGACGGTTTTTCTTCTCTGCCTTGTTGGAGACGTTCCTCCTGGATTCATCTCATGTCCTCCTCGCCTCTGTGTGCATGTTAAACAGATCTGCAGGAGTTTCCTCCTCCCTGGTGAGTCCTGAAAACTAAACTAAAATAAAAATAAAAAAAGTTCCAAATAAACTAAATCAAGTTTTCTGCGCTTTTCAGAAAACCTCGGTTTTGGTTTTGGCCTCTTTATAAAAACAAAAACAAGAAAAAAGTTTCTTTGCTTTAATCTGTTATCTTTTCCAAATAGGAAATTAGAAAAATGATTAAAGTGAGCTGAGTTTCCTGGAAAGTTTAAGTTTGATCTGAATAAACACGAATAAAAAAAACCGCTCTGTGCGTAAAGTTTCTGCGCCTTTTTTTTCCAACGAAACTTTGTTTATTTTAGCGCCACACTGCGTCACTTAGAGCCCATTAACAACCAACTAACAACTAACTAACAACTAAC